TCGAGTGTGGCATGGCTTTATGACAAGTCGAATCATCAGGGATGAGTCTTATTCATGCTATGATAAATGTTATAGCAATTATGCAAGTATACGTATCGTTCAAGTAATAAAGTGGTAGCTTAAAAAGATACGAGTGTCAAACCCACAAAGAGTAAAACATATTACAATAGAGTTGTGCGAAAGACTTCAAAGGATATATGGTTGAATGATGAAATAAGAAAGACAACAAAGTATAAAAATCAGAATGATAAGTGTCGGGCAGTGCTATAGTATTTGGGGAGCAACATATAAAAGATTCAATGGATGCATGTGTTATTTGGTCGTTCCCGCTATGGATATGCTAAAATCAGTACATTCATGTGTCTAACAATGATTAACAATATTCAATTAACAAGAATTAACCTTTATTAATTCAATTTAATCAAATAGTTAACAATGTTGGACGATTGACATCATACATTTCTATACATTAAACTTTGCTTTTCACAAAAACCAATATTGCACAAAGATAGTATGAAAAGAATTCCACAACTTTTATTGCTAACAATTATAGAAATCACATACATAGAGATAAATATATTTCTAAATTCTTTTCATAAGCACGACAACACATAAAAATAAAGTTTAAACATAAAACATAACAAGAGACATTTAATCAAACACTTCATGTTCAAAAACCAAATAACATCCAGAATATCAGAACTATTCAACTGAATAATTGTCACTTCCCTATCTTAGTCAAGAGATGGAAATAAAGTAGAACTCCACTTGATCACCGCTGCTACACGGCAGTGCTCCCCAACTGCTGTTGCACTTCTCGATGATTTGTTTAGGCGACCATGGTAGGAGAGAAAATAGGAGTGAATATATTCCAACTTGGTGTGCCAAAGTGAGTGAATATATTCTCGTGAAGAAATCTCAAAACCGACTTAGCATCACTTGAAGGTAATGCTACAACTTCAACCTACTTGGACATATAGTCAACAATAAATAGGATATAAAGATTACCACATGATGATGGATACAGTCCCATGAAATCCAACCCCCAAACATCGAATAACTCAATCTCTAATATAGGTTGCATCGGTCAATTGTTTGTTTGTTGGCATCAAACATATTGCACCGAGAAATGCTTCATGTTTGTTGGCATCAATCACATTGCTTAACATAATCATTAGCATCCTTAAACAATGAAGGCCAATAATAACCACATTGCAGAACTTTCGCTATTATACACAAGCCCCAAAGTGGCCACCATAGGGTGCATTGTGGCAATGATATAGAATGCTTTGTTGCTCACATTCAGGAACACCTCTAACACCTCTAAAAAATTTCTGTCTTCCTTGGTGATTCAAATCTGGTGGTAGCAATCCACTTACAAGATAATTCACAAAATCAACGTACCAAGGCAATGTCGCAATAGCAAAAAGTATTTTATCCAGAAAATAATCAACAACCACAAATTTATTTCCATCTTCACTCCCTAACTCTAACCGAGATAGATAGTCAGTTACTTGGTTCTCGAATCCCTTCTTATCTTTAGTCTCTATATTGAACTCTTACAACAACAACACCTATCGTATCAACCTCAGCTTTGTGTCAGTCTTTTCAAACAAGTGTTTTAGTGTTGAATGGTCAATGTAAACAATCAGCTTTGTCGCTACAAGATAAGATTAAAATTTGTCAAAGGCAAAAATAACAACAAGTAATTCCTTCTCGGTTATTGTATAGTTGGTATGTGCATCATTTAAGGTTATGCTCACATAATGTATGACATGGAAGAACTTGTTTTTTCATTGCCCCAGTACTGCACCGACATCATGATCACTTGCGTCACACATTAGCTCAAAAGGAAAGTTCCAGTCAGGTTCGACTACAATAGGAGCATTTACCAACTTCAACTTAATTGTTTTAAAGGACTCGAGGGCTTTATCATCAAAGTTAAATTTCCTATTTTGCTCCAATAATGAGCAAAACAATCCAACAATCTTTGAAAAGTCTTTTATAAATCTCCGATAAAAGCCAGCATGCCTAAGAAAACTTGTTATTCCTTTGACATTGGTGGGAGGTGGTAATTTTTCAATGACTTTCTCTTTAGCTTTATCCACCTTAATGTCATGATGTGAAATACAATGCCCCAACACTATGCCTTCGGTCACCATAAAGTGACATTTCTCCCAATTGAGCATAAGATTTGTTTCTTTGCATCGCTTTTAAACCGCGACTAAGTCGGTAAGGCATATTAGTCAAAGCTTTGGCCAAAGACAGAAAAATCTTCCATGAATACTTCAAGGAAGTCGTCAACCTTGAAAGAGAATATTGCGAAAGTGCAACGCTGAAATGTTGCTAGAGTATTGTATAGGTCGAATGGAATTCTTCTAAATGTAAAGGTACCATATGGGCAATAAAGGTGGTTTTCTCTTGATCTTCAGGAGCAATGTCTATTTGATTATACCCACTATACCCATCAAGTAAAAAAAAATAAAACTTTACTCGTCAACCGGTCTAGCATTTGATCAATAAATGGCAATGAGAAGTGGTCATTTCTTGTAGCTTTATTGATATTCCTATAACCCATACAAATCCTCCATCTAGTAGTAGTGCATGTGAGAACAAATTCATTCTTATCATTTGTAATCACAGTGATGCCTCCTTTCTTTGGAACACATTGAATGAGGCTCACCCATGTGTTATCCGAAAAATGGTATATAATATCGACATCTAACCATTTAATGATCTCTTTTCTAACCACTTCCTTCATGATCAGATTCAATCTTCTTTGATGCTCAATCAACCTACTATTAGTATCTTCCAGCAATATCTAGTGCATACAAAAGGCTGGACTAATGTCCTTAATGTCGATAATATTCCAAGCAATTGCACGCTTATAGTACCTCAAAATAACAAGCAATTTTTCTTCCTGCAATACTCCAAGATTTGCTGTAATAATAACCAGAAGTGTCTAATTCTCCCCAAGGAAGACATACTTCAAATGCTCGGGTAGGGGCTTTAATTCAAGAGTGGGTGGATCCTCAATAGAAGGGTAAGAAATCTCAATCGGTCTCACTGAAAGGTCCAATGACTCAACATGTTGAACAAAATTTCCTTCACCCTTGAAAATCTCATCATCCTCACATTCTTCTATTCCCACAGCATTAAAATCTACAACATCGAAGCTATGTCATTCATCCAAGTGTTCCTGTATAATAACATCAATAATGTCAATTGAGTGGCACTAGGCGTTATCATCATATGAAACATTCTTCAAAACATTAAAGGTAATGTGTCCATCATTTAAACGCATGGTATGTTCTCATTTTTCCATATCAATTAAAAGCTAACATGTGGCAAGAAAGAGTCGACCAACTATAATTGGTACATCCTTGTCGACTTCACAATCCAATATGATGAAGTTGGTGAGAAAAATGAACTTGTCCACTTGTATTAGCTTGTTCTCCACAATGCCACTAAGATAGATGGTAGAACGATTGACAAACTGTAAAGTGACAGTAGTGGGTCTTGCTTCTCTATTTCTGAATCTCCTGAAAATTGACACAGACATAAGGTTAATACTAGCACCTAAATCACATAATGTTTTACCAACAAATTTATCACCAATAATACAAGGGATAGTGAAACTCCCTGGATCCTTGATCTTAAGTGGGCAATCGACTTGTGGCCATAACACTACATCCCTCGGTGAGTGCAATAATTTCAAGTTCTCCAAGCTTTCTCTTCTTTGAAAGGACTTCTCTCATAAACTTGATTTAGTTCAGGTTTTGCTCCAAGGCATCAATCAACGGGATATTGATTGTTAATTATTTAAACACATCTATGAATGCTTTAAATTGTTAGTCCTCCTTGGTCGTCTTGAATCTTTGGGGGAAACGGTGGTGGAGATCTTGGATTCTGTTGCATTGGCGTTGCTGGTGCATTACAAGTAGTGTTGTCGGTATTGCTGGAGGTGTTGGACCAAAATTACTACGCTGTCCTGTCTTTCTTGCTGTAATATTAACAGTCGATTCAAGGTACACTTCCATTTCTTTGCCTTTATCTTGCTGTCCAAGCCCATCATCATCCTTCTTCGTAGGCTCTTCAGTTGGTTTTCCAATATGGAGACCGCTTCTCGTAGTGATTGCTTGACAATGCTTATTGCAATGGGTCTTCCTATGTGTCTTTGGATTCTTGGTATTACTAGGCAATGTTCCTTGTTACCTACTACTCAGAGCATTTGCTAACTGCCCTACTTGATTTTCCAATGCCCTCAGTTATGCTGATTGACTTTAGATCAAAGCTTCATTCCTTTGATTCGTTGCTTTATTTATTGAGATATACTCCTTCAGTAGAGACTAAAATGATGCCAATGTTGAAGCTGAGGCTTGATTGAAAGTCTACCTCTGATACCCTTACTGGTTATTTGCATTGTTAATGTGGTATTGCCTTATGGTGTGTCAGTTGATGCTACAACATCAGCTGTTGTTGAATATATTGTTGTGTATTCCCGAAATTTGATTGCAATGTTGTGTTGGTGTTGCCTACATTCTGACTCCTCCAAGACAAGTTGGGATGATTTTAGAAGTTCAGGTTGTAGGTGTTCCCATAAGAATTGACATTGTCATTCCTGTTGTAATTTCTCAAAAAATACATAGACTCGGGGTTTTGTGAACATTCTTCAAAATTAAACACAATTGACAAGAGATGTAGCTTTTACCTCATACTTACCTCCAGTCTTTTTCATGTTCTTCATTATTTCAGTCAATTCTATCACCTGTGTGGTCAGTGTGTTCAGAGCATCATTGTCCACTCATGCAGCAACACTTCTACCGAACATGTTCCTCGTATTGGGGTATTGGTAGTCATTGTTTGATATTTTTTCCAAAATATCATTTGCCTCATTATATGTATTAGCTAGCAATGCACCATTTGCTGAAGCATCAACCACCATTTAAGTGTGCATGTTCAACCCATTGTAGAACATTTCTATTTGTGTCCAATGCGGGAATCTGTGTATTGGGTATTTGCGTAACAATTACTTAAAATGCTCCCAATCTTCTTACAAACTTTCATCATCTAACTGCTTAAAGGAAGTGAGGTCATTCCTAAGTCTGACATTCATATTAGGTGGGTTGAATCACAACAAGATTTTTTGTGCAATCTCATTCCAGGATGCTATAGCACCAGGCGACAACGATGTCAACCAAGCTCTAGCTTTGTCTCGTAGCGAATAACGGAAAATCTTCAGCTTTTGTGCTTCTTTAGGAACCCATTGCTGAACAAACAAATCACATACCTCCATAAATGCTCGAAGGTGTGCTCTAGGCTCTTCGGTAAATGCTCCACCATATTACTCCATGGACTGTAGCATTTGAAACATCATCAGTTTCAACTTAAAATTGGCAGCTTGTATTGCTAGTTGCACAATGCAAGGATGTAAATCGTAGAGTGTTGGCACCATGTGCTCCTAGATAGACCGATTTTGGTCATCCATGTTGTAGTAATGCTGCTGGTTTACTCTATTGCCATCTGAAAATCCATCCTCACCATTTGGCACTGATGGCAAAGCGTTGTTACCATCACCATAATGAGCCATGTTTTCTTGATTACAGGCTACTTGTCTACGGAGTTCTCGTAACGTATGTTCAATTTTGAGATAAAAAGGCTCTAGATCTTGATTGCTGGTGCATGTCATGCACCAACAACACCATGCTAGAGAAAATGTACCTACGAAAAGAAAATAAACAAAATTAGTAATTAAAATAAACTCTAATGTAAAACCAATGCTCCCCGGAAACAACGCCAAAAACTTGATGCTACGATAAATGTTATAGCAATTACGCAAGTATATGTATCGTTAGAGTAATAAAGTGGTAGCTTAAAAAGCTACGAGTGTCGAACCCATAGAGAGCAAAATAGATTACAATAGAGTTGTGTGAAAGACTTCAAAGGATACATGGTTGAATGATGGAATAAGAAATAAACATCAAAGTATAAAAATTAGAGTGAGAAGTGTTGGGCAGTGCTACAACATTCAGGGGAGCAACAGATCAAACATTCAATGGATGCGGGTGTTATTTGGTCCTGTTGGATATACTTAAAATAGTGCATTCATGTGTCTAGCAATGATTAAGAGCATTCAATTAACAAGAATCAACCTTCATTAATTCAATTTAATCAAATAGTTAACAATGTTGGATGATTAGCAACATACATTTCTATATACTAAACTTTTATTTTCACAAACACCAATACTGCACAAAGATAATATGAAAAGAAATCCACAACTTTTATTTCTAAAATTTATATAAATCATATACATAGAGATAAATTTATTTCTAAATTCTTTCTATAAACAGGACAACACATAAAACAAAGTTTAAACATAAAACATAACAAGAGACATTTAATCAAATGCTTTATGTTCAAAAAACCAAATAACATCCAGAATAACATAACCATTCAACTGAATAATTGTCACTTCTCTATCTTAGTAAAGGGACGAAAATAAAGTAGAACTCCACCTGATTGCTGCTGCTACACGATAGTGCTCCCCGACTATTGTTGCACTTCCTAATAATTTGTTTATGCAGCCATGGTAGGAGAGAAAATATGAGGCGGCTAGGGTTTTTCAAGATGGGAAAAGTGTGTAAAAATTATTGTATTTATAACCCATCAAAATCAAACTTTCCACCAATAGAAAAATCCCCCTTATAATGCTAGTTCTTTTTTAAATTCAAACTCCAGCCTTTAGTTCTGCAACTTTAATTTCCTGAAATTTCTCTAACCACTTTGTGACTCAGCAATACTGTAGAATGGTCGTGGTAATCCAATCTAGCTTTATCAATATGTCACATCATCAATATATCAATTTGTAGCAAAAACATCAAAATCAACCTAAATACTAATAATTCACTCCCAATATGCAAATGATGAAAAATATGCTAAAATAAACCTAAATATGATCCTAAAAATGCTAGAGTGCAAACTTAACCTAAGTAAAATGGATCTAAAAGATAACTCTTTTGAAGAGTTATCACTCATTCGAGTGCAGCATGACATAACAATAGAGTCGAAATGTTATGTGATAAAGAATTTTTTTATAATTTAAATTTCTTTATTTTAATTATTTGTTCTTTTATATCACCATATGCCATGTTCCAAAGAAAGGTAATATAAAAGGGGTTTGCGGAATCAAATTAGGGTGCAAAGGCTACAGTGCACACACCTTTGCCATTGAGCCATGCTCAACATATGGTTTATGTGATACACAATAGTGTATATATTTTATATTAAATTTAGTCTCATACAAAAGAAAGAAAATGGCCATGAATAGATTTGAATTTAGGCCACATAAAAATTTTGTGAGCACCAAACGATTCAAGCAAATCTTAAATTTAGTTAATAATTAGATAAATGTCATATATATATTTTAAATACTAATTTATATAAGATTAAAATTTAAAATTTATATATTTCTAAATTACATTTAGTATTTTTTCATATTTGTAATTCAAAGATTATATATAAATCTTAAATTAAGTTTTTTTTTTACTTTAATTAATAATTTTATTTTTATTAAAATATAAAAAAATTATAAACATATCAATAAAATATTTCCACAAAATGATTATATGTAATTTTATATTTTTTATTAAATTTATTTTTCCGTACATTTTATTTTTCTTATATAGATTGAGGGTCAATTGGCTTGCATGTGGAGACCGTAATACTGCTTATTTCCACTCCTGTTCTTCCCAGCGTCGCAAACATAATACATAGGGGTTTGTACATAAGCTCCAGTGAGTGGGTTGAAGATCTTGATGATATTCATGGTGAGGCGGTGACATTTTATTTAGATTTATTCACTACTGCCTCGCTCCTCCTGCTGATGCTTTACTCCAAAAGGTAACACCGATGGTGACCGAGAGCATGAAAGCCACTTTAACCGCTGCCTGTTCGAAGGAAGAAATCCATGTTGTTTTCCTTCAAATTGACCCTCGTAAGGCACCTGGTATTGACAGACTTCAGAGTAGTTTTTATCAGTCTTTTTTGCCATTGGTTGGGGTGATGTACTTGATCTTTGTCTTGCTTTGTTAGAAGGTCATGTGTCCATGTCTACGGTTAATAATACTGTTCTTATATTTATTCCAAGCTTGTAGATTCAATTAATTTGAAGCATTTCAGACCCATTGATTTGTATACTTATTGTCTTTTATAAAATTGTTGTAAAGGTTCTTGTTAATCACCTTTGACCTCTTCTTCCCGTTTGTATTGATGATAATCAAGGAGCTTTTGTACAGACAGATTAATTCCAGATAATGTTTTGATTGCGCATGAGTTGTTTCATTCTCTCAAATCTGGTCAATCACTACACACTCGCAATGCTACCTTAGAAATAGATATGGAAAAGGCTTATGACCGTGTGGAACGGTCTTTTCTTCAGGCAATGCTCCTCCACCTCGGTTTTGTGAAGAGTACGGTTTCTTTTATCATGTCTTGTGTTTCATCTATTTCTTATCATATTCGTAAAAATGTCAGTCTTTTTGATCAGTTTTCTCCATCCCGTGGACTTCGACAAGAGGATCCTTTGTCCCCATTTTTATTTGTCATGTGTGCCCAGGGTTTGTCTTCACTTCTCAATTTTGAACAACACTCCAATCGACTTTATGGTCCTAGTACTTGTCGGGGAGGGCCTCAAGTGATGCATTTATTCTACGCTGATGGTAGTTTGCTTTTCTTTCGTACATTGGACTCGAAATTTCAGCATGTAAAGGCTATTCTTGATCTCTATGATAGTTGCTCGGGTCAAAAGGTAAATTTTACCAAATCAAGTATATGTTTTAGCCTCTCTACTCCATAAGTAGATCAAATCCGTTTGAGCTCTTGGCTGGGTGTTTCTTGTGTGTCTGATTTGGGTCATTGTTTGGAAATGTCACTTGTTATTGGTCGTAATAGAACTCAAGCTTTTGGCTTCATGTGGGACAATGTGACCTCCCACGTTCGCACTTAGACTAAAAATTTATTATCCTAAGGAGGAAGTGTAGTTTTTATCATGTGGGTCAAGCGCTTCCTATGTAGGTTATATGCTGTTATTTACCTCCCGATGGAATAATTGATGCCATGGTTTCGGTGCTTCGCTCCTACTGGTGGAGCGATGATTCAAAAAATCGGGGGTGGTCTTTAGTCTCGTGGTAAACAATGTGTCGTCCTAAGTGTGTGGGTGGCCTTGGCTTCTATGATTTTCGAATGATTAATATTGCCATGCTCGGGAAAAATATTTGGAGGTGTATTACAAACCCAGATAGTTTTGCTGCCCCATACTTGCTGCAAAGTATTTTTTGTCGGGAAACATATTCGATGTATTTCTCAAAAATCAAACATCCTTTTGTCACACCCTAAATTAGGGGTTAAAATTTTATTTCTTTTTTGGAGACAAAATAGAGATTTTCTTAAATTTTTGGACTAATTTGGAATAAGGACAAAATTTGAAGGACTTAATTGGTAATTTTACTCTTTTGTAAAGGTGGATATAAACCCCATCCCACATGTCTGGAGCCAATTAATTTCACCCTTCCCCTTTTAGAAGCCCAAAGCTTCTCTCTTTCCCCCATCTTTCTCTCTATTTCCTTTTTAGTTTTTATTCTCCAAGAAACTTTCATCGGTTATATGTTCATGACACCGCTGACAACACTGTTGTCGACACCGTTTTTTCGCCCGGGCGGGGAAATACCAGTACCAACTTGGGAGTTTTCCTTTGAAATTTTTTTCGAAATGTGAGGAGTTGCCACCAATCATTTAAGTTGCGAATGGGACACCATAAAAACCAGGTGATTTTAATAAGACATTTCATTTTTATCAAAATATCAAGTTTTAAGGTCAACGAAAATCCAGAAATCGGGTTCGGGAGTCAGTTACACGTGGGGAAGGACTAGCACCCTAACAAGCGCCCAAAAATTGGTACCTAGTTGATTATCCTATATTTAAAAAAAATTTAGAGTTTGATCTTTATTTAATTTGAAAATCAGTACGGATGCAAAGTTAAAAAGGGTATTCGTTTATTAAGGCCGATAGCCTTCACCCCTAGCATAAATGTGGGAGATCAGCTATTGT